CCCCCGCCTCCCCGGGCCGCATGCGCCGGCGGGCGGGCCCAGCGCCGGGCGGGGCCGGGGCAGCGGTGAGGGGCGTGTGTCTGGGGTTCCCCCTGCACCCCCGGGGCACCCCCTGCACCTGCACCCTCCCCGCAGCGCTGGGTGCGGGCCCTGCCGGTCCCCGGCGGGACGGGGCGCCGCTCCGCGCGTTACTGAGCGCCGGTGTCACCTCCCGCCCGCCCCTTTTCCGCCGCCGCGGCGGAGCGAGGGGGGGCGGGTGTCCCGTCTGCCGCCCCTCCGTCCCCCGCTGGCGGCGGTTCAGTGCCGTTAACAGTGCGGGACGGGAAAGGAGCCGCTGTGGTTTTGCCGCGGGAAGGAGGTCAGCGGGGGGGGGGCGGCGGGAGCCGGGCTGCCGGGGACGGGGCCGGGCCGAGGCGGTGCAACGGGGGGAAAGGAGTTTCTTGTGTACTGCAGCTTATATTGTTTGATTTGTAACACCTCCAGTAGATAACCGCAGCCCCGAGCTCGCCGCTCCCGGCCGGGCTGAGCCGAAGGCCTGGCTTTGTGCCGCCCCACGGAGCTCCGTGTCCGCGCCGCCCGGCGCTCCCCGGGTCGGGATTCCGGTGCGGGTGTGGAGACGGGCTTTTCCTCGCTCAGCGTTTGCTCCTGACCCGCAGCGCTGCCCGGGCCGCGGTCTGTGTGCCGCCCTGTACCCTCCCCCGGTGCTCTCTCCCCGCAGCGCCGGCCCGGGGGGGCCCGGAGAGCTGGCACCGCCGGGTGGGCTCCCCCGGAGGGAGAACGGCCGGGCCCGGGGCTGCGGAGCTGCTGGCCGGCCCCGCACCCCGGGGTGGCTGCCAAAGCCCTGGGGGTGCCGAGGGAGATTCACCGTCGGAATTCTGTCCCCCCGCACCGCCGCCCCCCGCACCGCCCGGCCGAGCCGGGTCACAGCTCCTGGGGAGGGGTTGGTGTCACGGGCTGAGCTGAGACCGGGTCTCTCACTCTATCTGCGAGTGTTGCCGTCTGTTCTCAGAAGGTGCATACCTCTGTTTTCCAGAGATACTGTTTTCTACAGAAGAATTTAAGTAAAGCCCCGTTTTTTCCTGCCTCTGGCTTGGGGATCCATGGAATATCGGCGGCAGCCTCTATGGACTGCCCGGCACGGTTCTAAAGTGTACATATATTAATGAGTAAGACTTGCAGAGTCTGCCCCTGACATAAAACCAAAGTGCTTTTCAGATGCCGTGTTTGTAAACTTTACACACGCTGCCACTGAGGAGAATCACAGTTCATCAGCCTGGCTTTGGGGAGTCACCTTAGGTCAGGAACATTACAGAGCTGTTGTAGGGAGGGAAAGGAAGAACAATTATCCTTTTTAGCCTTCAGGAGAATTTTAAGTACACACAATGTAATTACTAAAATTGAAATGTATCCAGGAAGCTAGAATTAACCACCCTCCTCTCATGAAAAATACAACAACAGCTTCACATGACAATCATAATTTTAATTTAAAAGGGAAGGGCTGTGAATGAAAAGCCAATCTTTAACGTGTGCTGCTGTTTACCTGTCCCCGTGCTCTGTTGCAGCGGGTGTGTTGCCATCTCCTGCTCCCCCCTGTGCTCTGCTACACCCCAACACAACACAGCCTTTTTGTGACCATAACTTGTGCGTTCTGCTGGGACATTCCAGTGGGAGGTGTCCCTGTCACGGGCAGGGGTTGGGACTAGATGATCTTTAAGGCGGGGCATTCCAGTGGGAGGTGTCCCTGCCCGTGGCAGGGGTTGGGACTAGATGATCTTTAAGGTCCCTTCCAACTCTGACCATTCCCTGATTGTGTGATTCAGGGGCTCTGTCACTGCACACGGGGTTCACGTGCAACATCAACACACGTGTACAGGCAAATACCCCTGAAACCTTACTTAACAAAACAACAACAATGCTTTTAAAATACAGAAGTGGCTAATCTATAATTCAGTTATAACCTTGTATAGGATTTGCATTTCTATCCGTTTCCCCATAGAAGAGCCAGCGCTAACCCTGTGTGTTATCTCCAAAGGCCCCTAAGAGCAGTCTGAGCCCACGGCCCTGCTGGGGGGGGCTCCAGCCCGTGGCTGCCCACGGGGGAGGGACAGGACGGTGCACAGAAGCATTTCCCTAATTAACGACAGTAATTGCACGGCGCAGAGCTAGCCCCTGGTGTAGCGGGAGGTTGGCGGGGCGGGGGGTGCGGGAGCCGGGGAGCAGCCGGGGCTGCGCGGCCTTTTAAGGGAGAACTATCTGCCGGGGGCGCGTCTGCCCCCGCCCCGGGGACACCCCCCGCTCCGACCCCGGTGTCGCCGCCGGTTCCCTGGGCGCTGCGCGGTGGCGGGAGGGCTGCCCAGCCCCGGCGGCTGCTGAAGGCCCGTTCCGGGCTCCCCCCGGGCACCG